TTCCTCAGAGTGAATTTAGGTGCAGTCACTTATTCAGCATAGAAGGGGATCACAAAACATTTTCGGACTTGAGCAATAAATTATTCCTTTAGTTTTATGGATTACAGGATGGGTTCGCCATGTCACAATGATCGAAAATAGTGAAGACCAGATTACAAAGCAACTAAGAAATTCATCTTAAAGCCTACAGAAGTCTCATTCAGTAATTTTGCCATAGAAAATTCACAATTTTTTTCCAGCAAAGGCTGGTTAAGAGGAAGGAAATTGTGGACTAACCAGGGGCTGAGAGAGCGGGGACCGCGCACAACAGGCTAACCAATAGAAAAGCAGACAACCTCATGACGTGGACATCGCTGAGATAGCAGAGCGGCCAACTTTATATAGCTTGCCGGGACACGAGGCTGCCAACCGGTTGGGCATCTGCTTCCACGTCGGCAGTGAATTTTCATTGGCTGAGTGTAACTATTGGCGTGTCGGCCGATTGGGATGCTTTAACGTGATGTGAACGAGAAGCGAAAATCATGTCTCAAATATTTATAACTTTTTAGGCCATATAACATGAAATGATCGATTTGTCGACGGATCGGCATGTGGCTGAATTGTGGTACTGGCAGCTACATGAGGAAATTGCCCAGGTGCCGTACGTTCTATGCATAGTTCACGAATGCATCTGGAACTGATGACACATGGCCCAAAACAAATACAAACCAAATATGGCTCTCATTGAGCTCCATTAATTAACTTTATTCCACCTTTCTCCTTCTCTGAACTCACTCATATCAGAATCAAAGACATTCAGTCGTTTTTTAATTAAGCGAATAATTTGTGATGCTTAATCCGGGCAGGTATCTTGACCCAAAGTACTGCGACAAATTAACAGGGGATAGAGATATTGAAGATATACTGCCATTGGTCATTGAGCTTAATAATTTAGCATTTTTTAACGTAGTGGCAGAGGGGAGCTGAAATCTAATGTAAAGGAAACAAACCGGCACTAGAGGTAATTGACACTCGTCACCGGTGCCGATTTTGGTGTGGACGTAAATCTGAAATGTGCCCTTTATTCTGGGTGTGCGTGATTCTTAATCTATCCGTACTGTACATGACATATTGCAAAAACTCAGTAACAAGAACTGGAGACGGAAGAGAAATAGAGCGATTAGGCAAAAGGGAAGTAATGTTTTGGAAAAGCCACAAAGTTTATTTAGATCGAGATAAATCTCCCTAAATCAGGAAGACCAATGTTTTCATTATCAGAATCATAGTAACAATTCGCCTTTTGAAATCGTGATAGGGCGGTTTTATTTTATAATTGTAATGATACCCTTCCACTAATTATGACGTTGCGCTCGGACACACTGACACGTCTGATCACACATCCCTGTGCATATCCCTCACACCACGAATGTCGTACAGTTGATAGTTCAACAGAATTCAATTGGTTGGCAGCCTTCATTACTCATTTCTTGTCTGCCCATGACTTCCCATGAAAAACACGCACGACGAAACAAAACAGGGTTGCATCATCTCGTGATTGTCTTTGTCATCTATTCTTTTCTAAATCTTCCCGGTTTTTTTGCGTAGCGTACTCAGTTCAATGCAATCTGGCGGACTCGGTATGATTTGGGACCATGTCGGGGCTTTTACAGCACGTAAAAGGCAACCAGTTGCGCACTACGCCCGTTTGCAAGGTAGCAACCTAGCATATTAATACACGCACGAATGATTTGAAAACACTGAAATGTTTATTAACATTGGTTCAAATCATAGCTCGTTCAAACTACATCAGTATTTGAAAGAATAAATGCCAAATTGATATTTTTCGCATAGCCATTTTAATTTTTAGCTGCGCACAGCTTGTCTGGTTGAACTAGTCGTTCGTGTAGCCACGTGTGCAAGTGCCACGTCTGTGCTACGTGGATATGGCGATGTCAAATGCCCCGCTCCACGTAAAATTCATCCCTAGCATTTGGTCATGTTTGGGTACTGATTAAAATAGCAGAAAAAAGCAAGCACTTGTCATGACCTAAGCTTTCAAGCCTATGGAAATTCAGATAAAGAGGAAACATGAGAATCACAGGTGTCTTCTGTTCCTATCGATGACAGATTAGACAATACTACGATACAGTGCAATTCTACTGCTTCACAAATAACTCTAATTCGATTCTGTTTGAATACATTAAGTTACAGTGAAAATAATTAAACCTCTCTATTTCTCACGACATGGCCAATCTCAAGCATAAATTCTTTTATTAAAACAGCCCAATTCCATGGGGTACCAGAGTATGCGAATAAGCTACTTTGATTACGTGACTAGACCACTACGTGTGATTTTAATCTTGTCTAATTCTCTAAATTCCTATGCTATATTTTTGTAATGACCAATTTTAAGCATTTATTGGAAAGAAAGCATTTGAAACTGTAAAATAAATTAAAATAGTAAAAAATAGTGAATTCTTCCTTCGGCGTAATTGATTTTGAAGCTACTTTATGCAAAATTTTCTTACGTGTACATTTACTAGGTGGATGGGGAAGACGTGGACACGAATAATGCTCATTATAGCGATTGCTTAGAATATACCGTCCGAATATGTGCCTACTTTAATGCACTTTTAAAAGGGCCGTATTTTCAAGAACAAATAATTGATTCAGTATTTTCAGTGGGCTCTGAAATCTTTGCTTAGGTATATTATATGCTGTAGTTAATTAACTTTATATTTGCCTTTGCTGCAACGAAACGGACCTTGGGCCCTTGATACCATATTCGTGAGTTCGTGTGTCTCTCCAGGATAGCCAACCGGTAAATGAAAGCTGACTTTTCAGAAAGTTGATCTGTCCTTAATCGAGAAATAACGGAAACCATGAACCTTACCATTCTCGTGCATTTTAATTCAGGGGTATTTGGAAATATAAAACAATATTAGTAAACTTGATTCAATGTTCGTAAATGGAGAAAAAGTATTATTTTACGAACTAGGCTTTTGCCATAAAATAAATAATTCATTTTGGACTGGAATGTAAGCGATAAAAGTTAAAATGACTGTCACTGAATTAAGTAGATTTTGAAGCAATTATGCTGGATCGGACCATAAATATGTTATCAGTGCAGTTTGTAAGTAGCCAGCCATGACAGGGAATATACCATTATGTCTTGGCATTAAAAGTGACGGGTGTTTTACAACAAGTGTATAAAATTCTAAACAAAATGAGTACCAAACAGGTTCACATTTAAGTAAAATTACTAGAGGATGTGAGAGGCATGTTTAAATTCCAATTATCTGCTTATTGTGAATACTATTTTTTTCCATGTAATTTATCTACAGGTAAATGATTTAATGTCAGTGTAACTCACTATCAAAGAATGGTTTAAACAATCCAAATCATGATGAGTGATTGTTCTCAATACATAACAATTGATCAATTTTTTTCAACGCTGTATAATAGACATTTGAATACATTAAGATTCGTGGTAGCTCATTAAGTGACAAAATCGAATAGTTAAGAAAATTATCTGCCGAGGTCACCACAATTGACAACTAAAAGTCCTATTTGTTTTTTATTATATGGCCAAACTCTAAAAGTAAAGCAATGCTTCCAGCTGAAATCAGGTCAATTCACAAAATTTAAAGATACTATATTTATCGAAAAGTGTCATTTCCGTGCAAATATCATTTTTCGTCTAGAAGTATAAGTATGAATCAGTTCGGCCAAATTGCAGGTAAGAATTTTAAAGTAGTATTAATAACACAGAAACTCCAGTAATTTTCAAATTCAGGGTTTTCCTCCTTGAAAATATTCACAATCGCGCGCAGACTTTGTTAAAACAAACATTTCCATGGAGGATCCTGTTATGACTTACCCAGTATTTAGATGTAAACATCTGAGTATAAGAATATTTCTGCATGGCGAAGGCTTCCTAGAACAGGACGAGACAGGAGCTCGTGTAGAGAGTATTACTGACACTGCTAAAGGTCAAGGAACAACAAAGATCAAGGCAGAAGTCAAGTGTATGTTCATATCAGCCAATTTATATAAGCCTGAGTTATCTTAGATCGATGATTTGTGTGATTATCACAGTAAAATGAGTTGTTGGAACGAAAAAGTTGCGGTACTTACTGACATATATTAAATTTTCAGTCTCACAGAATTCCTGCTCGAATACAATTACATTTGCTATTTGTATTTAATGCAAATATAAATCACGCTAAGATTTTTAACAAATTCACTAGACTAGAAAAAATAATTACTTTTGTTGGATCATGGAGTTAGATAAATCATTCATAGGTCCACTTTTTTCGAGCAAGGTCACGCGGGAAATGTAACCTTGGAGGGCTATTCCTTTTAGTGTGCAACATTGTGACGTGTGTTAGTTCTGCTGGTAAATTGTGCTTAGGTTGTTTATTAAATGCTCTCTCTTATAAAAACCTAGACTATTTATATGTCAAATATTTTTTTAAATGTGTTTTTTTGTTCTTGTTGTTAGTGTTGCATTGTTGGCTTTTTAGTGCAAGTCTATCAAAATGTAATTTCTCACCACAACAAACAGATCAATTACTGGTGCTTAAAGGAGCACTAATTAGGCAGTTTGAATAATGTGTTCTGCCTTTGCCAAAAGAACTTTTTTTTATTAGACCACTCTGGATTTTGTATGCAGTTTTTTATCCGTCACAGACGGCCCATAATAATAAATAACAACCATTTAAAGCCATAAATAGTTTTTCATTCTTTCTTCCTTATATGAAATATTTCGTAATTTTGTACTTCTTTTGGCATGAGTCTAGATCATGTAAATATTTCTATATTCTGAAGGACTGCCTTGCAATTTGTTTCGACGACTCGCCTCACGAAGCTTTTCAATCCTAATCCTTTTCCTGTACAGAATATCGGTGTTTGATTCGTGTTAAAAAGACCTTTGCAAACTTGTACAGTAACTAGAGAAGTTGTGATAGACTTCATTGTCGTTTACAGGCTAAATATCTTTGCATTTTTTGTAGACATTAATGTTTGTTTCCAAAAGTGTTCACAGTAATCATGCCGATCTCATCCACGACGTGGCCTATGACTATTATGGTAGAAGGATGGCAACGTGCAGCAGCGATCAGATGATAAAGGTGGGTTTTTTACATTATTTCCGGTAAAAGAAATCAACTTTTGCAATCGTTCGACCTTTTAAATTAAACTATCGTGCTTCATAGGCGTTGTGTACTTGCTGACAGACCGGATAAAGTTGTTAAAAGAACCACTCATCGTGTTTGTTTTGCTTGTGCAGATCTGGGACCTTCGTGATGACCAAGAATGGGAGTGCACGGCAAGGTGGCGATATCATCTCGGTTCTGTGTGGCGTGTCTGTTGGGCCCATCCGGAGTTTGGGCAGATCATCGCCACGTGTTCGTTCGACCGAACCATTGCGATCTGGGAAGAAATCATGGGATACGTAAGCCAGAGCATAATAGCTTGGGAGTTTGGAATTGACTTTTAATTACAAACGGGCTCAAGGTACAGTGTGTACAATCGCTATCCATTTATTGTAAGATATTAATATAGTAAGCGAAAAGAGTTTTGGTGTGACCAATTCTGCCTTTAAATAGACAATCATGCGTGTGTATCTCTTTGTTTTTTATTAGCTGCATTTGCAGTATTTCAGACCACTCTTACTACAATTTTTACGCACATTATACGTAAACCTCTAGTTCACGATGGAGAAAACGTAAACACTTATTAAAAGGCCAACGTTGTAGCTACGGCAAAAATCTGGCCTTGATACGAATTATCCAAACGCATCTGAATAAAGCAAAATCAGTTTTCGCTTTACACGAGCTGACTGTGTACTTTACGGGATGGTACAAAATTAGATATCAAAAAATTTCATCAGTATATTGAATAACTTTCCCTATTAGCAGTGTAAAGTCTGCTCTATTAGGATTAATAATTTTCAAGTAGATGTGCTTGTAGTTGGTAGATTATTCGAATGCTAATGATTTGTTGCTCCAAACTCTGGCTAATTTTCCAAGACACATTGGCTTAGATGCTAAAATGCATAAAGTGTATGGGAATGTAGTTTTTCGGCTAATGCTCTTAAACTACACGATTTCCAATTGATGTAAGGTTTTTATGAAGGCATAAACCCTGTAAAAACTATTGAATTGGATACTGAAGTTGGATGAAATGTGGCGTCAAGCATTGTTCAAATTTATTTCCCAGGAGGTTGCCAGTACCGCGAGCGCAGGGGGCGATCCGTCGACTAGCTCTGATCCCCAACAAACCGCGGGTTCCACGGGCACTTCCAACACCCGTGGAGGTGTGTGGATTCGTCGAGCGCATTTAGTGGATCCACGCAACTCCGTTACTGGACTCATGTTCGCACCGCGCTTTCTTGGACTCCAGCTTGCTGCCATTTCCACGGATGGTGTTCTTCTTGTGTACGAGGCTCAGGTTAGCATCAAGCTCTTGCATTCCGAATTCAGCCACTGTCGGCTACTTCTGTCTTTTAGGAATGTCCATTTTCATTCTATCCTCTCCAGATTTTCACAAGTTATTTTACTTGTTTGAAGTTGTAGATAAAGCTAAAGCACTTTACCGTATCCGTTTAATTCCATACCATAGCTGGTTTTTCCTTTTTACGTTCATTACCGTAATTCGCTGTGCCGGTTTAAATAGGGGACTCTGTATTGAGTATGGATTCTTATTTGGTAAGCGATCACATTTATTGGGGTTGGTGCGTATTGTAGTATTTGGTGTCTAGGAGATAAAAATATCCAATAGAAACGATTAAGAGATGTCGATGCCACTTGCAGATATGTCCTAAATACAGTATTGGTCTGGTCTTACGAAGTTACTAGCCGCAACCCAGAAAACGATCTTCTTAACTAAAACCCTCAATTATTTCTTGCCCACTGCCTCCTCGTTCTCTTCTAATCTACTACGCTTCTAATTTTAGGATGTTATGAACTTGTGCCAATGGACTGTTCAGTGCGATTTTGCAACCAAGATGGCCGGTTCCTGCTTGGCGTGGTCACAAGTAAGTTTCGTGCTAGACCAGAAGGAAGGTCTTGCCCACCCATACCAAGCTCACCCGTGTAGCCGCTTTCAATTTTCGCATCGTAAATTTTGAGTCCTGATTGCGCCCAAGTGCACACTTACCTGATCTCAGCACTGGCCGTGTTACGCACCGCATACATTTCTTTGTCCAGACCATTTTGTGATTTCCAGTTATTTTGGGTAAAGAAAACACTGACCTAGCCCTGGGAAGCTGCCGTGGTTTATGCAATGCCACTACTAAATTCACATCTCAACTTGAAAGAAAGCGCCCTTTTACAATTGCCAAGTCAGAAGAACCACTATTTTCACACTGGCCAAAGATTTGATGGAAAGTCGAGCTCTGTCGAGATCAGTGTATGACCATTTCTTGAGTTGCAGCTGGGATTGTCCTCTTTTTTTTCTAGTCGCGACTAGACCCACCCTTAATCGCTGCAGGGAGCGCTTCGCTTATCGACAGTCACCAGCGTACTCAAGGCGATCTTGGGGAGTTAAGTGGCAGTCACCCGGCCTCCCACGAGTCTGGTGCCGCCTCCAACCACGGAAAGCTGGTTCTGCTCGAGTACAACGAAGGTTCACGTCGATGGAACCTCGTACAGGATGTCGTCGGCATCAAGGACTTCGTCTATGATGTTGCTTTTGCACCCAGCATGGGGCAGTCCTACCAAACCTTAGCTGTTGGTTCAGATGTTCTGATGATTCTATGCGTAAAGTCCGTTGGTGCTCCCCAAGCCTGTCAGTTGGATAAAAACGTGTTACTTAAATCTTGTACATAGTTAGAATACTTAAGTTTGTTTTAGTAACAGGGAACGAAGGCAAACTCTCTGGAACGTACAATGTTTCTGTGATGGCCCGTTTTGATCAACATGGTGGACGTGTTTCACGAGTAGCCTGGAACTTTCAAGGTAAGTTCCAATTTTTCGTCTGAGTTTTTTTATTTATTACGTTTACTATTTCTGATTCGTTCAAGTTTCTGTGCTTCAAGTTTTCTGTTGTCAAAACGGATATGTACATGGCTTTAAGTCTCAGGCACCACTTGTCTACTAAGCCTTGATTTCCTTGCTAAGACAAAAACACTGAAACTGATTACTTAACAACAACAGGGCAACTTGGAAATTGTATGTTTGTGCGTGTGCGATATATGTGTTATCATGACTGATGAACACTTAATAAAATGTTTACAATAACAAATGAGATCAAAAATGCAATGTCCAGAGTTGGTTTGTCTCTGGATTCTGTCCAATGAGTAAACGAACTCGGAACGACGCTTAGGGGAGTAGCTGGTTTAGTTAAATAATGGTTAGCAGATATGGGATATGGCATATTAAATATTACACGTATTTTGTAGCGTGTAACGAGGTGTGGGAAAATTGCAAACTTGATTTCTCGTATCACCGAAGGCTTGACACTTAGTTGTGGCCATAGTTATGGCTGCCGCCCACCAATGGCAATATGGAAGCCTGACCAATATTGTGGTGTTCTCTTTTGTGTAACCTGCCCAGTGCTTATCTCTTTAAATACAGCCCATCAATCATGCATTTCCTCCTCGCTAATAAAGCGAAAAACAATTCAATCATAGCGTACAAGGAAAGTTCTTATGTCGCGTCTGCTTTAGTGCCTAATGGAAATTGCAAACGAAAACAGTAATTCCCAGATGCGAAAACTTACCTGTCCGAAATCACCATTGACCGAAGTATGTGCGGATCCATTTCAGACTTGCTTAATTGGCCATTCTTTGTTACCTAGACTGGTCTTGGTTTCGTCACTTCAATTCCCGAGTATTTCTCCATTTGAATTACCCTTAAGGAACTGCAAGCGAATCAATGTCACGCGTTGTAACTCACTAACACTTCCATGCACTTAGAGGTCATTAAGATGTCACGTTCTTTTAACAAATTACTGTTTCACTGTCCAGGCTAACGAAGTTTGGACGTGTCGCAGATGTATCGCGAACAGTTTCGTGTCACGAAATCGACCTCGCTACTACTTCTCTCAACTCCGAAATCACCTTTTTTTCTAATTTAATCTAGTGTTAGGTAAATTTGAAACATTACGGTCTAGCGTGACTCCTTCCATTTCTGTCATCACTAATCTGCGTTCATTAGTGTCGACTTCGTCGATATCACGGTTGACTAAAAACGTTCAGAATTTAAAATTAGACCACATCAATACCACCAAGACGATCAAATTGTTTTATTCGTGCATCTTGCCGCTGCACCGCTGCGGTCAAGTCATCCAGTCAGCCGTCACATCGCAGCTTTTCGCGTTTCGCCTGAGAAACCGTAAACGTTTTGGAAATTACAGATTTCAATTAACTTGACACTTCCTTTCTAGTGAAACCATGTGTTGATAGAGCGAGGGAGAGTTTTGATGATGCACTGAATGGTAATGTGACCCTTTGAAATTGCTTAAGAACACCAACGAGACTCAGATTCCAGGTAAAGCTCAGTCACCCTCCCTGGCTACCCGGTTAAGACCCTGCACCAGCTTAGTATTGTCAATTCTATAAAAGTAACAATTCGCTCAACCTGCTTGATCAGTGCCGTCATTACGTAGCGAAAAGTCAAACTTAATCTCAGCGATTGCGCTAGAGCTGTCTTACCGTGAAGACGTTCATTTGTTACCCATGTAATGGATATGCTATGCATTGCATTCCTTTGCTTCTCGCATGCATCATGCCATTTTTATCGTCTCCTTCCAAACAATTCCTTGAGAATTCGGAACTATCATCCCCTCTCCCCCCATAGGTTTTTACAGGGAACTCACAATATGGGCTCGCACGTTAATAATGCATGGCTCTATTCCGTCGTCGCCTAGATTGTGAGGCGCAAGCCTAGCGCGGCTCACACGCAACACGCCCAACCAATCTCGGATGTGACTTCCTTAGCTATGCATAAACCCCCACCGCGTCTTGCAGTGCCCGCGTTTTTAATGAAAACACACCGCCGCGATTTCCGCGAGCACACGTACGCGCGTTTGTGTGTGTGTGTGTTTTCGCTTTGTCCTTCCTTGTTTTCGTTGTGACTGCGTTACACACTGTCAGGATACGGAGTGTGGTGTGCTGACCCCTAACCTTGCAAACACTCTCCCCCTCCTTTCGTAGTTTCAGACGCAAATATTTTTCAATACGGATAAAAGTCACTTTGAAACCATTCCCACGGTTTCGTAGACTTGAAAGGGTATTCGGGTTTCGTACTTTGGTTGTGTTGCAGATGGTTCCTTTGTTGACCTTGGCATCCTATTGATTTAATCTTTTCTTCGCATACCATGTTAATATGGCAGTATTTAGTTTTCGCTGCTCTGTTGATATGCCCTTTCGTCGCATACTCTTTCCGTCCGTCAGGTGTATTCTCATTTTTACCTTAGTTCAAATATGTCTTTAACGATAAGTGAATGATTGCGGTCGGCCTTGTCATCTATCGAGGACCTGTTGTGATGATTTGTTGACATATCATTGTGGTGTGCTAGTATCGTACCAAGTTGTACGTTTTCTTTACGCCACTCACGTATTTTACGCTCAAAATCATCATCCTTGCCTTGGACGAGTGTTCACGATAGTCCTATGAGCCTTTCTTAGACAAGGAATTTAGGGGCTGGATTCGAAACATGGGTCGCCACTTCGTATGTTTCTGCCTGCATGATTTGTTCTACTGAAAATGAGATTTTGCATAACCTATTCCGACATTAGTAATTTCAGTTGCTTATAAGACGGTGGGTTTGTGACCTAGTCCTAATCAACGTTTGTTTAAGTACCCCAGAGTTATCAGCAGACGTTCAAATTGACGGGACAAAGGTGACTTGCAATGTCTACTTGAAGTGTGTCGATGTTCACATCCCATTCCACCCCCGGGGCGACTCAGGTTGGGGGCGGGCAATGTGCTTTATTATGCACACACGCAAACGGGGCCATACATGGTGTCTTTAAAACGCGTCTGTATACCTGGTCGACTACGCTACATCCTCGTGTGTGGGAATATTTCGCATCTTCCCGGCAAGTTCCTCCACATAAAGGGAATTTAAAACGTGGCAAAGCACCAATTTGGTCCAAGCTCCGTTGTAGTCTAGCCTTTTGTTTGCTGTGGAGAAACGCGATGACAATTAAGTAGCCTAATCACTAGGTCAACTACCCCGGCCTTTTTATCAGTAGTATCTAGCGATTTGTCCAACCTCTGTGTTGTAACCTAGGGCAACTTAATAAGATTTGCAAGAACATCTATTCTGGTAAAATTGAGGGCAGTTCTAAACTGTCAGCAACCTGACCGCTCAGATATAACAGGTGGGTTGCAGAAACTTTGAAGTCCTCGGGATTTAACGTTAGTAAATTAAAGTGAACACATGAACTTCGCATTCACCTAGCTCCGGTGCAAACTCTGGTTGAGGTCACACCTGCCGCCTAGTCTTGGTGATCCTTTCCCATTTGCTTTTAGCGACATCATTTTCGCCTGATAACAGGCATTAAATACCGTGGTGTTTCGTTCTAATGAGGGCATTTTTTCAACTGTTACCTTTCAATTTGGTAGCATATTTGTCGCCCCACGGTCATGGCAACAGGGATTTTGCAGCTCAAGTAACAGGCCTGCTTGCAACAAGATGGCTTCACATCGAAATGACTGGTTAATGGCCGACCCCAGGAAATTCTGGCCTTCTGTGTGTGTGTCCGTGTGTGCACGCGAGATTTCGCTGGCTCCACGTGCACATCCAATAAAATTTACCCCTTAACCGATCAAAATGGCCCCGATTTCCGGACATTAGCACCTGCGTGTGTGGCCATTGGTTTGACCGTGATTTTTTTGCTGTTTGTTGAGCGCTTAACTTCTTTGCACCTCGACTTTTCCCAGAGCCTAATTTCATCCCTGAGAAATTACTCGCTTCCAGGTGTTGCTTCACACCTTGTGTGGCTGCCTTTTAAAATGAAAGCGAGTCGCGCTACACTTGCAGCCAATTTTCAAGGGTTGGGAAAATTTACAGCTAATGGATCTGTCCTCCGTGCACCAACTATTTGCCCGGAGCGTGCTGAAACGCAGATCCATTTCAAGTCGAGGCACAAGGCACACTGCATGTCACTGCAAGAGGATACTTGCTTGTGGTGTATTATAATTCAACTCTTGTTTGTCTTCTGAGTCACAGACATCTCAAATTTGACACGAAGTCAATTCGCGATGCGAAAGCATCTGTTTTAATAGCCTTTCCTGATACCATGAATTCTGCCAGCAGTAATTTTGTTGTTCTTCAGGTAACATTCTGGCCTCGGCTGGCGACGATGGAACGGTTCGCCTATGGTGCTCCAATTACCTCAAGACCTGGTTCCCTTTCTCAGTCATCCGCCCGGGCGAGGCCAGTTTGCCGATATCGCCGTCCAGCTTCGGTGCCGCAGCCGCCCTCAGCCAGCGCCAGGCGGCTCAGCGCGCCGCCGCCCCGCCCTCCCTCGCGCCCTCGGCATCGGCCTCTCTTCTTCGCGAAGGCGCCGCCGCCGTCGCCGACGGGCACACAACTGGCCAACTCACAGCTGTTGCCTCCGATGTGTCGGTTCAGTCTGCGGCTTCTGCTGGTAAGCCTGCTTATCTGTGCTCTTTCGTCACCAACATCGGAGACATGCCTTGGTCTCCGTTGTGGTTGATTCGACAGCTATAGCTTACACGCACCTTCAGAAACCATGGTAAGCAGTAGTCTTCACAAACGAGTAGCGACGGAGGAACTAAGACAGAACACAAAGATGGCGATTCAGATGTCGCCGGGTAAGCGCCCTGCTCCCCGCCGTCCCAGTCCCGTAACTGGGCCCCCCTCTAGTCGTTGTCCCTTTCGCCCTGTTTGCGGCGCCAAGCAAAGCACCGCCTTACCCGGACGGCGAATGTGATTGGTTATTGCACCGAGTTCCACTCGAGATCCTCAGCTTGGCTTTTTCAATTAACCTGTCTTATCTTGTCTCACTTCATTTTTTTCAAAATTAATTTCAGTTCAAAATGCTACGCCTTTAGCCAATTGTGATTGCTTTACCAGCATTTATTTAAGCTGCAGCAAAGTCAACGACTCGTTTATAGTGTTTAAAAAATGCGTCTCATTATGTTGGGCCTTAAACCTGTTTTTAGGATGCACCCAGTTTACAATGTGATGCTACTGTTTTGGTATTGATGTAATCCTGTTACCTAATTTCTACACCATTAATTATATTTTTCCGAGCTAACTTCTCTCGGTAAAAGTTATACGACGCCGTTTCTACCACCTCATTACGGTAAATTGCATTTTTTTTCCGGTAACACGGGGTTGTAGAATCACCTTGTTACTTGTTCCTTGAATTGCATTGCATAATTTTCAAAATGCGTCGTATGTTGCCAGGCATGTTGCGTAAAAACGAACGCAGACTTTGCATAATATGACTCACCTGCACACAATAATGACCATGAGGAAGTGAAGGCGCCGTGTGCTCCTGTCCTCCCGTAACTTCCTCATTCTGTACTGTTTTGCGTCTTTGTTTTCCAGCTCTGGGCTTGACCCGCCCCTGAAGGTATGTGCACCCACATCGTGCCCCCGTCCCTTAGACTCTTTGTGTCTCCCCCCGCACCCAACACTGTGCGCGCGACCGCGGTTTGTTCCTCTGTTTCTGTATGACTTTTAGCTGGCTGTTGCCCTTTTCATTTTTATCGAGTCTTTCCCAAAGTCCTTAAGTCGGATTTTCCTTCTCCTGTATTGGCCTGTGATCAGTCTCGGTTCCGCACCCCAGCTAGGAGTGTCTTCGCATTACAGAGGTGACTTAAGCAGGTGTTGTCGATAGCGTCTAAAATGAGTGGCCCGTTGTTGGTAGGTGTGCCTGGGGGAACATTTGAGGTAGGAGGCCCGCCAAAGGAGTCTCGACGTGGCCTGGCCTTTCCGCGCGTGCGCAGTTGTCGCTACATCTCGAATGCCGCCTACGTTCGGTTACAAAAGTAGTTCAATTGTAGCTTCCACGTGGAACAAAGTGCTCTATGCTACGGCTCTTGGCCTGTTCCGTTGACCTTGACCATTATAGGCAAAGGTACTGTGTCTATATTGAAACCGAACAATCATGGTTTAACGTGGCTACAGGAATAATCCGTAGTCCGACGAAACGGTGGTTGACTCCACGAAGTTAACACTCTTAGTGGGCATGCGGATCTGGTCACGTGAAGAAGGAAAATCCGACGTCAAAGCTTCCCCATCACTTTGCTGCTGTCCATAAGAGCGTTGCTAAAGCAGCATTTCCAATTGCTCTTGCTCCCAACTCCTGGGTCTGTGGCATGTTCCATAGATTTTCGTGTCCTGCCCGTGTCGGTGTTTTTTGCTATTTTTATAGTCTCGCTCCATGGCTGAGTTTTCTGCCAACCCTCTCATTTGTCTCATGTTTTCATGGTTTTGGCAACACCTTGTTTAGTTTTTTTTGTATTTATTTATTGGTTATAAATGTGTCGTATTGTGGTCTGCGCAATACTTTGTTTCTTCCCTAATGCACGCTCAACCGTAGAGCAGTATACTTCTTTTTTGTGCTGAGTTGCGTGCGTGTCTTTTACTAGAACCTGGGGGTTGGTTTTTGGTTAGCAGGCCCTTTCTCTCGTCAATCCGGGCGCTGAGCTTGAATCCGGTTTTCCAAGTTGCCCTGGCGCCCTCAAGGTGGCATAATAGGCGTATCTGTTCGTGCTGACTTATCTCACGCCCTCATTCAGTAATCGTAATCGCCAGTGTTGAGCCAACCATCGAAGGGGGGAACTTCTGTTACAAGCGGCAACAATGAGTGTGGATGCTAAACCGATCGTTATCCTACACCAACGCTATGAAGGATGGCGTTTCGAGAGACAGACGGTTTTGTCCAGTTTCCCCCACTTTTCCTGCTTATCCTTTGTTGCTGCATGCATAGGTCAGTTCTACCTGACCTAGACGCGTTATTTGTACTACTACCACTCGCTATTAAGCCCCTGCGTATGATATGCCCTCCGACCAGTTCTGGTCGTAATCATAATTTTGGTAGGAGACGGCTCAACGTAAACTGGGAATTAGCTGACCCTTGAACAACCCCCAAAACCGACGCCTCCGAAATGACAGGCTACATGGACTTAATTAAGTCACATTTGCGGTCTGGTGAGTTTTCGTGGAGTCAGGATCACCACCTAATTTAAAACAAAAGGAATGTTCTGGGTGGTTTTCTATGCATGTGATCAGAAAATGTAGTATTGAAATCAACCAATTAGCTGCGTATTTTATCGTCTTCTAGTTCTGTGTTTGCTGCAGTCGGTTCGGATACTTGCAGAACCTTCTGTTCTTCTATTTTGGTTGCAATGTCAATGAGCAAATATTTGGCCATGTTTTGTGTGAGCACTGAGGCACCAAATTGGCTTAAGACCCCTTGCGGAAAACCGCGCGTCTCCGGCCGCTTGATCTGAATAAGTATGCGTCTGACGCTGGGGATTTGGCTGCTGGCTGTGCAATTCTTGTTGCGCCATAGCCATAGGAAAAATCGCCACCTGAAATCAGAATGTATCGTCCCTGCTGCCAAATGGCTGCCTATTTACTCTCGTTCAGTTGCCTCCAAACCCGAAACTGATGCACATGACGCATACGTCCTCTTATTCCATACCCTTTTGACTGCAGCAGAAATACGTAAACCGGCGGTCATCGTTTATTGGCTGATCCAGTAGCTGAACATCAAAGGAACTGCGTCGATGGCATGTGCGCACAGCCACGGCTTTTGGACACCTGACCTGTTATGACCTCCCTTGGAGGTGTGTGTGTGTGTGCTGTGCACAAGACCAGATCAAAGTAGTTTGGCCCATTTGCCGCTGGAACACCCATTGTTGTCGACAAGGCTCTTCACTTTAGGTGCTGGAATGCCTGAGATAAGTACCCGCGCCTTCATATTGAACACTCAATTATTGCTCTATATTTGCGTGAACAGGATCGATAAAGTCTATTCATAAGGCCACTCAAAGACCCAACTTTTACAGTACTTGTCTCAACTAAACTGTCGAAGCTCATCGTTTGAGTTGTTTCTCACAAGTTGGCTCTCCCACCAACACCAAACTTTAATTGTCCCATTCGTATTAAATGATGAGGAAAGAGAAGTTCTGATTGGGGCTCCTATCCGGTAAAAGTGAGTTTATTTCTTGTCGGTGTGTTTTTGCTGCCGGGCGCCGTATCATTGCGCATTTTCGTTGTCAATTTTATTTGCTCTACTCGCCATTACATAATCGATGGCCTGTGTTCCCTTTGTAGAAAACAGGAAGCCGGTTCGTTTTAAGAAGAGTGGGAGCGTGGTGTCTTCCAAAAACCAAGTTGTCTGGCACTGACTGACGAGCACCCCTTTCACTCTCACCATAATCCAACCATCAGTCAACAGTTGATATTTTTGTACGCGGTGGAAATAAAACCAGTGTCTCCAGCACACCGTGGCTCATTGCCTTTGTCTGCCTCGCTAGGGTACTGCTACTGTGCTCGATGTCATTAAAATTGGAATTCCAATTGTGTGGAGTTGCTATTATGGCGAAAGAAGCCTGCTGGTTGGGTTTCATAAATCGAAGCCCCGGTGATTGTCTAGCCTCACGCTCTGTTGCAGTGGGACGTGCGGTTCAATAATGCACCTAAATCGGCCCAGCCTTGATGCCATTCTGTCTGCATCATTTAGGATTGTTGTTTAATCTTTTAAAAGTTGGTAGACTAAGAGTCGCGAAATAAAAATCAACATGCCTGTTGAGGGCATGTAACCTCCTTGATTCTCCAGAACCAACAACTGTCTAGTTATCCCGCCGACATCGCCGCATTGCGTGAGACAGGTGGGGAAACTATTCTAATTATTGCCACTTATGCATTTTTAATTCAACGTGATGCATGTCAAAATGTTACTACCACTTCTGAGATAGCCGTTTTATCATTAATTGCGGGTCAGAATTCTAGCAATCCAACAAAAAAATTTTCTCATGAAACCTCCTCTTAATTAAACTTTCGTTGTAAACAACACACACGTGAATAATGGACGGGTAAAGTTTCAAGTTTTTCAGAATCTTTTGAAATCGCGCATATTGGTGAGTCCATACCTTCAGCAAATTATATTTTACTAACTCTTCTAGTATCGTGTAAGTGTCGATAAGTGATCAGGCTAATTCATTCCCGGCGTTTAACCTCATGACCAAATATTGCGGTTGGGTTATGGAGACAAGGGCCTTTCACGCAGCGAGGAATCGAAGACTTTGGGGAGTGATGGAACCAGAGCTGAGGTCTGGGTCTAATACTCATAACATACCAACTATTTGGTACGGAATTGTGATCAGACTATGCTGTACCTGGTCTGTGCCGGCGAGAATATTTGAATTTTAACCTTTTACCGCAGCTCTGTGTACCGCCTTCGCTAACCGAACTAAAGAATTTGACATTTTAGCCAGAAGCTTGTGGGCACGTAAAAGGGCTTCACATTGGATCGTGTCGATCATAAACTTTGGTTGGCCGCTGTGCATGCAATAGAATGACAACACAATCATTAGAAGTGATACGCGACACTATTCGGTCCTAGAACCCCATTCTGCAATTAAATTTCATTAAGAGGGTTTGTCCGTGCGAAGAACTAGAAATAATTACAGTCGTATGCCTGTTTAAGTGTAATAATAACCTGTTTTCGCGTGTAAAGCTTTCGCTGGATAGGACAAAATCGTCCTTCACCAAATACCATCTGCTTCAGTTTTAAGCAGCGACGCACTGCCGCTCCTATTCAAGCCTCTATGTCAGCGTTCACTTCAATAAAAGCATATGATATCGAACGGAATGCATTTGACGAACACGCTGACTTTTGTATGTGACACTGAGAAAGGCAGCATCTTGTAGTGTGATATCACATCTGTGATGTAGCTTCGATTCAATCCCAATAAAAATCTCGGTGTGCACTACGAGAGCATGCAAAAAATGTCAGACAATGCACGGATTGCTGATCTGTGGTTTAATCAAGACAAAAATGTAGTTTTTGCCTGCAAAGAAGGAGGAGCTAGGACTAGCGGCAAGGCGAATGAATGAGAGGGTGCCACGTCGGGGCCAGAGGCCAGCAGGTGGGGCAGCAGATCACCCAGAAGGAGGAGCTGTGTGATCAACAACGAAGACGATGACGATCGGTGGTTGGACGGCGGCAAAGCACTCTCTCCACCCAGTTGTGTGTCCACGGTCTTGCTCAGGTTGACTGGCTCGGTTTGTGGTGGCGGAAGGAGGAGGAGGTGGGGAGGGTGGGGGTGGAGTTGCAGACGGCGCATCTTCGCGGATGCCTGGTGCCGACCGGCTGAGGCGGCGGGGTCAGAGGAACGCTTTTGTCCGGCCACAGGCATCGCCGCCCCCTCGCAAACAAGCCCACGGAGAATGCTGGAGAATTCGCCCAATCCCAACTCCTTGCCGAATCGGTCGCAACTATCCACTAGGCGAGCAAGCGGACTGGGCTTGGCAGGGTCCTCCTGGGCAGAAAGAATGACGTAATCTTTAGAAACAATCGCACACCAAATATTTGAGACTTTTTGGCTAAACTCAAGGCGATAATGTCACTGATTTCATGAAGACGACTTCTTTAAGGGAATAACCAAAATTCAATCAGGGAATAAGGCTGGTCAGTATCCGTTAGGGCCTTTACGCCTGAGTGTGTCAAAATTAATCGACGGGAATATAGCCGGACATTTTCATGTCTGTGAACATCTCGTCGGCTTGATATTGAGCAGTATCTTTCTATACATCTAGTCATCCATCTGTAAGCACAATGAAAAGGTTCGCAGGTGCCGTTACTCGGCTTTGCTGATGAACGAAGTTGATGATGACATGAAAGCTAACCCAGTCTAACCTAGCTGCAAGAAGACTCCAAGCCAAGCTAGGTGCCTTTCACCGAATCAAGTCCACAATTCAAGGCAATACTCTGATCAAAGCTCCAAAATAACTGTTTCTTGTCAGATAAAAATTTGAGGTAGTCGCCCTAGTGCGGCATAAGAAGTGACACAATGAGGATGGAATCATTGTCGAGAACCTATCAAAGATTCATCTGATTCCCGTGACATCTTTTTTCTTTAGATGTTCCCAGTTGCAGAACCCTCATTCGTAACAGGTGAATACTAATAGGAACTTTGACACTATTGAAATTATCTTCTTGTCTTTCCTCCAATCACCAATCATCTTGTCCTCGTAAAAAAAAGAAACTGAAACTTGAGCTATTCCAACCGTCATTTACAAGGCCTTTCCACTTCACTGACGATTCGAGAAATTTAGCGTTACCTTAAGGTGGTTTGGAGAAAATATTTGCAATACCGTAATGTAGTGAACTTTCATCAAACCAGCGTGAGTTAAGTTTATTCACGAGTTGATCGATTGTCAATTACAACTGACGTTCGAGATACACTCACGTGCTTTGGTATAAAAGACTTGGGTGGTCAAATGTGAATAAAGCGTTGTATTCGCTATCATCAGTCTTGTCTTTCTTCTCGGGCTGTTATAGGGGATTGTCGACTAGCAGAGATGTATGGTAGCGCTGCAGTAACTCATCTATCTAATCTACGGTGTCGCCAGCAATTGTAACATTCATACAGGCCTGATCTTTTCAGAGAGGATCGGGTGGTCAGCCCATTAATTGGTTTTCATGAATATAATATGGAATCAAATCACTTGCAAAATTTTATAAGTCAGCAGTTTTTAACGTTCATGAAGCCTAGTATAGAAAAGCGAGATTATTGAGCACAACTAACGTGAAACTTGGGTCCGTTACTAAGTCATTCAACAGTCACCTACCTTCCCTGCCTTTCGCATAAGTACTGACCACGCACGACTGTAAGTAGGCTTCAAGTATATAAGTTTAATTCCTCGCCCATTATGGGGCTATATAGAGATGTGCCTACGTCACTGAAGGACACTAATGCCTATTTTGAACGTGATGAACAAATTATTACTTTAAAAATTGTTCGACGAACCTTCTCGAGGCTGGAGGGGTTGATGTAACTGTAGTAGGAGGCGTCATCCATTTTCCGGTCACACAACTTTGGTTCTCTGGATATCTCAGCAAGAGGAGTCGTCGGCGAAGTATTGGCCATGGTCACGAACTCCAAACATTGGATTGTAAATCGTTGCACCACCTTTCTCACCCCTTCGCGTGCAGTCACACCAGTCTGATGGATGATTGGATAACATGCTTTAGTGCGTTAAGCATTCACGCGTGTTGTGATTGGTTCATAAATGGTGCGGTGCGCGCGTTTGCATCAAATATGCGCAGTACTCAGAATAAATGCGCAGAGCCAATTAGTGTAGCATTATGATAATGGGACAAACGTTTGCTCTATTCTGCGGACTGATATTAAAAGTGGAAAAATCAAGAAGAGTATGGTCCGATAAAGTCACGCTAACCAGAGGTGCCTTTTTAGTCCTGTAACCCGTCGGTTCAAAAGTTACAGGCACTCGGCACAGCCATGGTGAACTGGTTCCGGTATTAGTATCTGCTGTTACAGTAGGCGCAGATGGGGATTGGGAAGAACGCCAATGTCCTGCCGATTTCCTTGAATTGACGAAATGACAAACTGTCTCTAGCCAACTGATCCAATGCAAACATTTTGGATAAAAGCGACGTCTTTCTGTTCATAATAAAGCATGTCGTAGATGAAAACTTCAAGTTAGTTTGAGATAATTTACCAGCAATCTGTGTCCTGTCAATTGGAGAAGTCCACTCGTGGACTGTTTCCGGTGTGCCACTAAGGTAACTCTGCTTATGGCGTCATCAGTGGGGTACAGATTCCATCTGCTTTGGATGTACCAAAAACTGTTAGCATCTACTTAAGGGTCCTGTATGCATTTGGGTGAATTAATTTAGAAATGTGTTAAAATATTGTCATCGCATCCTCGGCCTCAAGTGCTTAAGATCAATTCCTGAGTGAACCGGAAATTTTGGCACGCGTACCGAAACACATACACAAGAGAGCGGAAAAGCAATTATTTCCCGTGTTGTCATTCATTAGCAATTGTGATCTAATTCAATTGGTTCAATGAGTGTAAACAACGTTGTACCGTTTAATGACGAGATATTATTTATGAAGTGATCTACTGATCTCCTTCTCTTCGATCCTGTGTCGAGTATTCAGTGTGAATTGCAGTGAAATATGGCGGAATCCCTAATGCCAAGTGTGCTGGGGAATTAATCCAGTGGTGTTTAAGGCACGCAGGAACTGGGATTCATTAAATCGTCACTTGATCAGTAACATTAATGTCCCATTGGAGGCCATCCACACGAATGAAATCTGGACAATTTTTATTCCTGTTGTACCCTGTCAAATATCTTTTGCCGAAAACAAAATAAATCTGGGCACGTTTATTAGGTAACATGCTCATTTTTATGATAAGTTCAGACTTGAAGGCACCATATTGCAGGTAATCACAACTCGAAATTCTATCAAAGATCCTCGTTTAAGAAACCTAGTTTCTTCATGTGAAAGACGACATGCTGTCAATTGCACTCAAACACTATGCATCCGTAGATAATGTCGATCTATTAAAACGTGCCACGTTTGTTGCAGGTAAACTTGAGTTGTTTAAAGGTGTGGCTACTGCGGTTTGTTTTGTTGACTGGAAAGCCGTTTCCGCAAAGGGTATTCTAGGCAACGAGCAGCTGCGACCCAGATGGACGTCCCGCCAATCGACCTAGGGCTGCACTCGTCGTCTTCGCAACAACGACGCCTGGGTGATGACTTCAGCGGCTGGAACGCATGCGTGTGTTGTAGACCTAGGCACTGAGTCGCCAGCCCGACCGCGTCCGCCAGTTTCTTTGTGACGCCGGTTCAAATATCTGCGGCAGCAACCGCAACCTCACTGTTTACTCACTCCACGGGCCCTGCTGTTTGCTTAACCCATTTTGCGCTGCATAACGACGAACCTGGTCTGTGCATGCTCGTGTGTGGATTTCGCACGCGGCTAAACCGAGTATGTAAAAAAACCGTTTGTACACGTAACGCAAAACGACACGAGGGGGCGAGATCGAGTTGCAGCCACCGGAGAACCTCGTGATTGTTGCAGCAGGACTGGCGAAACATCGGCCACCACTCGTAGCCTCACTCGAAGCCCTGACCACCAAGGACACGTGCTACTTAGGTCCGTGTTTTCCTTTAAAAAAAGGATTGAGCACATTCTAGCCGAGCGAAATACATGAGTCTGGCATCTTTTCGTCAAGACGTCTGAGCCCACAACAATCCACCGCGGCCAAATCATCCAACTCAGATGATCCAAACTTGAGAGAGTGCGTCTCTAAGTGTCACTATGAAGACCTCAAGTGAAGAAGGAAAAAGTCACGCTCAATTTCGGGTTGACACGGGGTTTCCTTGCACTCCCCCTTGCACCAATCAAACATTAATTTAGATGCTTGGGTTTTGCACATATTGTGTGTTGACGTTAACACCAATAACAAGGTAATGAGTGTCCTTTTCTAGTTTCACAAAAACAGGTGCTCAATCCAGACGAAACGGAAAAAGCGGGGTTGAAAGCGCAACAAACGCACGCGGTCGGCGCCATCCTTTGATCGTCGGAAGCCTCTTCATGCGGTCGGCGGGGTGGGAGGGGTAAGGGGGGGGGTAAGGCCACCACTGCCGCCGCCCCGCGTAGTTCACCACTCGGAGGCGTGGAAGCTGCTACAAGGACGTCACGGCGAGTTCCACTTAATTGTGATTTTCGAGCTAGATTTGTTGTCACATGAAAGCGTAGGGACAAGTAAGATCACGCGCCTGGTATGACAATTGTTACACTTATATTGTGTGAGATGCCCACCAACATAAAAACATCAAAGTGCTAAATAATTAAAACATGTACAAAACAGTTCAGACATGAGAAAATAAAAAAAAGATGCTAAAATTAGGCTTGTGTGTAGATGGAAGGCATAATGTGTGATGCGGTAGAAACTAAATTAATAGAAGCTGAGTAACACAGAATTGTTGTCCTGTGCTTGTGTGATTGTTTGATTGCAGGTCCCAAGTAGAATCAGTGAACTTAGTCGTTTCAACCCCTCTGGAATTGATTGCTGGTTTTCCAATGGGTATCTTTTTCACAGACATGTTAACACTAGTCCGCATTTTCTGATCTGTTACTCTAAACGAAGAATGAAACTGTATTCCAAACCACAAGAGATGACTAGATTTAGTAAAGATGACCTTAGAAACATGAGGTTTTTTTAATATGGTTTTAAAAAGTGGGCCCAAAATAGAGACTGAGCAATAAGCATCCCGTTGTGCACAGTGTTTGGAAGAAGCAGGAATGTCATGGTAGAATTTACTTTATAAGTAAGGCAAACGTGAATCAGATTATTAGGGAACCTTCTACTTAACACATAACATTCCAATTCTATTTAAAAGCTTCTTCTGGATTGCCATCATGATTTCACTACTGCGGAATAATTAACTTGATTACTCGTTACATTTCAAAACCCATCAGTTAATTCTGTGTGCGCTCCAGTAACTCATCTACTAGACGTGAAAGACATGAGAACGACTTAGAAGGAACCTACTGGCTTTGCAGGTTAAAACTGCGTTGAAAATAAACGCTATGTCTAATCAGCGGTTTAAAATTAAAGAATTCCATGTCAACACAACGGAGTAGTGGTTGTCGTTTGAATTTGTCACCGATTTTGACACCCTGTTACCACATTTTCAAAAATGTGCTTTCCCTACTTGATTTGCTGATGCCTGGGTGGTGCCGAGTCGGCGTTGATTGGCAAACGATTATCAGGCAGTGGAAAACGATAAGAGAATGGATGCGAAAAAACGGCATGACAGCATGACAGCGCGATGTTTCACCTCAGGTCACATTTGCACTCATCGTAAGAGGCAATCAGTGTGGTTTTGGGCGCGGTCAGCTATAGAAATCTCGCTTTTCAGAAAACGTAAAAATGAAAAAGGTCAGCTTTTGAAAAAAAGAGCCTGTTAATTGATTGGACTTAATCTGGAAAAGTATTTTCCATGCCTATGAAGTCATATTCAAAGACCTCAAAACCAACCCTAAGCATTGGAAAATTTTGGATGAGTGCAAATAGGCCAATGCGAATGTTTAAGCGGCAGGGGAGTTACGTGATGTAGAGTTTCAAGTTACGCTCTGCAACCGTAGCCTCAACAATCCACTGTAAACATCTTTTTGCCGGAACTAGGGACGAATTGGCTTGTCGTTCGTGTGTGTAGACACTTCAAGACAATGGTGGGGCTCATTAATCGAAATTCGTGAGCAGTAGAAAAACTTGGCAATGCCTAAGGACGCCTGCAATCAAGTCTACGGGGATTCTGACAAATAGTCTGCATGCCAATGTAGTGCAATTCCATTCGGAATTCTAAAGAATCCTCACTCAGAGTCAACGCATTTTGAAATTTAAATGCAATACCATTCTTGCCATCTCTTTGTAGAAGAACTGAACTTCTTTCCCCAAAATTTCGTGAATCCTTAACTCATTGTGAGCATTCATTCTTAGTGAACTGCGGTGAGTAATAAGCAGAAGTGGCCCAGATATGTCCAAACCCAAATTACTAGTAAAAATTACAGGTTGAATGATGTCGAATCTGTGTTGCAGTAAATTGTTTACATCTTAAACAACTGTCGTTAGATTGTGCAATAAAATTTTGCTCAAGTGATTTTTAGTTACAATAATGCTACGTTTAACTGCGCACAGGTGCACAGCCCTGGTTTAAATGGTCGGACCCCCTCGTTTAGCGCTTCAGAGGCACGAACTCACGCTGGGAGCATTTCCTGCCTCAGCCAAAGGCGTAGCACACGTTGAGATGCTCTCAGTTTTATAAATGGCGCGGGCAGCCTTGAGTGCACTCATAAACAAATGGGCCAATAAGAGGGGGCCGGCTGATATGGTTGCAAAGTTGCTCTGCATTAATTTTGGTGATAACAGAAAATAGAAAATTACCAAAAAGTTTAAAAACATAGTCCTGGGGATGCTGAATCCCAAAAATAAAATGCTGAGATATCGATTAACCTGATCACCGTGTGAGTACGTGTGATGTTGGCACATATATTTCCGTAAAATTATTGGCAACAGCATTTTCAAACGTAAGACACGAGCTGTAGG